CTTTATGATGCACAAAGAGACGAGCTTTGAGGTCGAGAATAACATACGTGATAAATCTGGTCAGAGAGGGGAAGGATTTTCTTCATCGGGAGCTTTAAATGTAGAGATTTGGAAGGATATCTGCGGACACAAGATGCAGTCACTAAAACATTTTCCACTCTTTCCGCATCGACCATCAACACGTCTACGAACGTCAGCTTTGCACCTTCATTTTCGGCAAGAATTGGAAAATTCAGGACTACGAATATTTGGATTTCTGTCTCCCATCGAGTCTGGGGATTATAGTTTTCATTTAGATACAAGTGAAACTTCAGAACTTTGGATAAGCTCGGACTCAAGGCCAGAGAACAGCAAATTGATCGCAAATTCAACTTTCCGGGTTGCTTGGAAATTTGACAGGCATGACAGTTTAGTATCGCTTCTCGCTGGAAAGCTTTATTATTTAGAAGTTTTACTCAAACATGGAAAATTTGAGAGGAAATTTTGTCATTTTGAGGTAAAATGGAAGTCATCTTCGTGGAGAGTAGATGATATAAGAGAAATCCCTCCGAATGTGTTTATTGCTCGTGATACGATTGAGGAAGCTGGAACATTTGATTACAACAAAAATTTGGTTCTCCCTATGCACAATAAACGCCAAGATCCTAGCTTTGCAACGGAGGAATTACAACGCCGTGCAGAAATGTATCACCTTCCTTTCATCATTGAGAGTGATTCTAAAGATCTTTTTCCTGCATGTGACTACAATCCTTCATACCTGGTGAAAGGACCTTTAGAAAGGTACCAGTCCACTTGGGAGTTACACTTTTCATCCATTTATCCATTTGACTACGGTGATATCTTGTGGAAGGAAAGGGAAGATTTTCTTTCATTTGGCAATGACATTTTGGATGAAAATGTAGCAGAAGCAGTTGTTTCCCAAGTCTGGACTCAGATCGAAAAAAAGCATCCAAGGTGAGCCATGCACCAGGTGATTCATTACAACATCCTGGGTTTTTATGTTTCTTTTGCAATCTGATACGTATAACACAAATTATTAATACACTTTGAGTTAGGACTGGTCTTTCTTCGACTTACAAAAAAGACGTCTGAAACGTAACTTGGGAGGTGTCATCAAAGAGCTTTGATTGCTGAATCGTAATGTTTAACATCTTAAATTGTGTCTGTGACATTGTACTGGGGCCTGCATGTGAGTACGCTATATAATGGCTTATAAGCAGAGGCTCCGTTCGAAAGGTGTACCATTGTCAGGCTCGGTTAGAGTAGTATATGAAAGGGTTGGGAAATCTCTCATTCGGTCTGTGAAAGGACCTTAAATGCTAACAAGTGCATTTTATGGATGTGACAATAACCTGGTTTAGTGATTTATTCATATTTAAACTAGAAATACGTTTTCGCAAAAATTTTGCGAAGCTAACAGGTTAAGCAGTGAGAATAAACAGTAAGGTTCGTTACAATTAATAGTGTTGAAGCATTTTTCTCTGCCATTCACAATGTTTCAACCGTGTGGAGCTGTATTTATTATGAATTCAAAGATACATTTGAGGAAAAATAGCTCAAGCGAGTACTTCAAAACCATTTTGCATTATTTCCGTGTTTATTCGCTCTCGGGCTTTATATAGGCCGCTCGATTTAACGGAGTGGTCTTCTTCGCTACTCTCGCTGAAGTTCAGGTCACCGTTCTTTCGGTGTTAAACCTTCCACGGCGAGGGTTTCCAGCCACTTGTCCAATCGGGCACTGTTGTGCCTCAGAAATATTTTTCGATTCGCAAACGTACAATAAACAGAGGATGAATATTCTTGGTTTTCATGACGTCACCAAAATTCAAACTAAGAAACTATCGCTTCTTCTAGAGCACCTTAAAACTTCTATACAAACAAATTTTCAGTTCAAAAGGATTCTTCGTTTTGCGATACAGGACGCTTGAATTTCCAGGCTTTTGAGTGACGCGGCATTTAGCTTGCGGCCAAGAAAGCTCTTATGTGTGTTAAAAACATTGCGGATTTTTGGAGATTTTGCTATCTAAACATTCCTTGTCTTAGAATAAATATTCCTTTAATCTTTATGAGTTCCTCAAGCGGAGAATTCACGCATAATTAGGAAAACTCAAAAGCAGATGTTTCTGTTAGTTTCCGGCGGCCATATTTGTGCCCATGGAAGGGACACAAACATGGCGCCTGCATACAAGGCTTTATAAATTTGGGTAAAACGTTTTTCCGACTATCTCTCATATGAACTGTTCCATAGACCTGATTCTTGGCAACGCTTTTTTTATATTTATCTTCTTTCATTTCCCAGATTCTAGACTTTCTGTATTAAAAGGTTTCCATTTTTATTTCTGCTTTCTCAAGAGAGTGAAAACCGAGAATAAAATGAGCCCAAGTCACTGGCATGGCCGTGTTGCCTGGAAAACCCAAAATGCACCATGACGTCATGTTGAACGGCGTCTTTAGGATTTGTGTATGGCTTGTTGCTAGGCAACTACGGATACCAAACCCATAGAAAGATGGCCAAAGCGAAATCGCAGTTCGCTTGCGATCCTCGCGTGATCTGCGCGCTGTGCGCGCGACAAAATTATAAACTCGCTCCGCGAGAAAGAGAGTGCTTTTACAGTAGTACTAGAAAAACATTTTCGCAAAAATCTCGCGAAGCTAACAGGGTCAGCAGTGAGAATAAACAGTAAAAAGCCAAAGGGTAAAAAAATGATGAAAGAAAAAAAATGGAAGTAGCTACACCGAGAGTGCTTTTACAGTAGTAAAAAGTAATACAGCGTTCTAAACTAGTATATGAAAGGGGTTCCATTTGTCAATAAAAAAATATATCAAAGGGGTTCCTTCTAGAAAGGATAAGCGGTTGGACCTCGGGGTGGAGTCTACAATATAAAATTTTATGCGTATGCTCAAAATTATGGTAGCATAATCCGTCATACCACACTCATTTTCCTTCAATATAGGAAATACACTTTTGTACGAACCCTTAATGTGGAGGAAAATCACGACCCAGGGACCGGAGACAGGTACTTGGTGGAAATGGAACTGAAAGAAATTTCAGAGGGAAAGTCTGTGAGATTCTCAGAGTATGTCTACAGACCTTGGGGTGCACACACCCTCTGTACCCCTGTGGGCGTGACATGGAACAAAAGTGCTGTTATAAACATTTTGGTAACAACAGGAAATAACCAGGGACGGTGGATTCTTCACTTCCTTGATAACATGACAAGAATTTACAACAGAACCAAGGATACCAATTTTAATGTAGTTATCTTTGATTTTGATAGCAGAGACATTGATCTTGGAAATGCTCTGAAAAAGGCGACAATTCCATCTTATCAATATGCTAATTCAAAGGGAAATTTTTCAAGGGCCTTGGGGCTACAGAAAGCTGCCGAAATGGTCAGGGATCCAAATTCAATTCTTTTTACTATGGATCTTCATCTTGATATTCCTTATCATTTCCTGGATGATGTTAGAAAGGTTAGTGAAGCGTAGTTGTTCTGGGCAGGGAGGTTTCGGGACAGCCCGGGGGTATGGGAACTTTCATTCAGATCAACTTGACTGGCACCTTTTAATTATATTAAAATCCCAGGGATATAGCTAGGCTTTGTCCAGAGTAATGTATACACAGTTTTCTGAGTCAACCCTAAGGTTGGATTTCCACTGACGCGTAAATTTTACGCGGGAACGCACATAAAGTTTACACACGTAAGTAAAATAGACACAATGTATTGGAGGTCGTGCGTAAAGTAAAAGTTGAACCTTAATCAACTTTTACGTTTATGCGCGACACTTCATACATGCTTTTTTTTTTACGACCGTAAAATTTATGTGCGTACCCAGGTAAAAATTACGGGACAGTGGAAATCAATGCCTTTTTTTTATCTCTGACGTTTTTTTACATTGAGTATCCTCGAACAGGTAGCCACGCCCCTAAAACCCCAAAGAAAGCAGGGTGTATCCGAAAAGGGAGGAGATACATGAAAAACGAACAAAAAAACAGTATCGACTAGCACATTTTAGGAGATTGAATCGGTATCAATGTGTTTTTGCGCATAATTAAATTTTAAAAATGATCATGTTGTTCGTTGCGTTTTTTTTTCTGAGAGGTTAAAAATCACTATGTTTAAGAAGCCTAAATATGTGTGCAATCAAACACTTACGTTCGGATCTTTGCCCAAACTAAAAAAATGCAAATGATTTAACAGTTTTTTGCTCATTAGAAGGAGCACACCTTCATTTATACATTGAATACATCGGTCTTACTTTTGCTTTTGTCCTGGTCATTATCTTTCAGCACTCCGTTCAACACAAGATTGCTTACTCTCCTCTTCTTGTCCGCTTAGATTGTGGAGCAACAACTTCTGAACCTTTTGGCTATTGGGAAATTCATGGTTTAGGATTGATAACTTTGTACAAGGGTGACTGGGACAAAATTGGAGGAATGAACGTCAGGGAATTCAAGGATAAGTGGGGTGGGGAGGACTGGGAATTTGTGGATCGGTTACTGGAAGCTGGGATGGAAGTAGAAACGATTAAGATGATGCATTTTTTTCACCACTACCATTCAAAGAAAGGCATGTGGAATAACATTTAACTCCATTCATTATTTGTGGAATCGCAATTAACAGACGGTTAATACAACTTTCACAATCATGATTAGCCTGCGAATACAGCCGTTTCTCCTCGTCCCAAGCGGCGAGGAACGAGGAGAAATGGCCGTACTTGACGGCAACAAGTGTTTTGGCATAATTTGACCAGCATGTCAGTGAGTAACGCGGTGTCTGGTTTCCATTGTCTTCGATTTGACAGGAACAAAACAAGAGAGCGCTGTGGCTTTTTCCTGAAGTTAAGGAAAATTCTCTCGTAGGAATTAGAAGTTATTTACATTTTACATACATACATATACATACAACCGTTATTTATACACGATATTACAATCTTGTAGGGTCGTGTGCAAAAATTACAAATAAAATAAAATGTTAAAAATTATTAGTACTAGGGAATAAAATTGTTCAATCATAAAATACACATTTGAAATATAGAAAATCTCAGGTCTGTTGTTAATTGTTTGTAGGGCTAAAACGTTGAAATTAAAATAGCTAGAAGTGCCACTCTTAACGACCTATTTCAGAAACGATTTCGTGTCTGTGCAATCTAAAATAGAACCATTTGAACGCCCTATGCCGTTCCAGAGGACAGCCCCTCTATAGGCAATGGAGTTTTTAACATAATTTGACGCAAACCTCTGAGCTATTAACCCGTGCTTCGATCTTGACACAGATCATCTATTGCTATGAATTATAAATTGTTCAGCTAAAGCGTGTGGAAACATTTCAAAGTAACCTTTGTAAAAAACCTGAATTAAAGCAGGAAAGTTTATATTGATGTGTTAAGGTGTCTCACTTAACGGTGGCTAAGACGTCAGCTGTTGGCATATCCGACGGAAAACCATGTATGATCCTGGCAGCACGACAGTGTTTTCTTTCCAATGATTTAAATAACTTTGTCTGACTTACGCTGCCCCACACTGGCATCGCGTACGTAATGGACGACTGGATAACCTTCAAATGAAACGACTCGCTCACATGACTGGGCAGAAACCTTGATTTCTTCAAAAGGCTTAATTTATTTGGGAAACTCCTAACGACTTCTTGCAGATGAGGTATCGAGCTCAGATTTTGATCTGCGGTAACACCCAGAGGTCGGGTCTTGGCCTTGTGTTCTACGATAGACTCTCCAATTTAAATGGCGGGCAGCGGGCCCATAAGCCGAGCTTTGGAGAGTAACATTACCTCGCATTTGCCAGGATGTGGAGTTAGGCGTTTGTTAATACACCAGGTGAAATTTTCTTTAAGTGTAAGGTTAAACAAATCACAAGCGGTGCCTTGGGTGGAGACGATACAGAAAACCGTAATGTCATCAACATAGATAAACGTATCTCCAGATGTAATCGACAAGGGTAAACAACGTGAACAAGGTAGGGCCTAAAACCGCACCCTGTGGAACTCGAAATCTGACCTGCGTATTCGAAGATTTTCTGCCATTTATCACTGTAAATTGCTTTCTATTTGAGAGATAATTCTTCATCCAGGCATAGAGTTTGCCGTCAATGCCAAACTGCCTGTGTAATTTGTCCAGCAGGTGAGTGTGATACGTTGTCAAAAGCTTTCTTGCAGCAAAAATGTGGTAATAAAATCTATGCCGATATCTCAAACGTTTTTTTATACCTACAAGAAAATAGATTTTCTTAAAGTTTCACCATTCTTTATTAAAGATGCTAAGATAATCACAGAAGTCGGTCAAATCTTTCTTGCTGAAAAAGCGCGATTCATAAACATAACCGACACGCAAAAGAACCCTCCACGTGCATAAACCAGTCCATTTTGTTTTGTTAGCTAGTAGTTTTATCATTTTATGTGTCGATCAATTCAATTAACCCTTCTATGGCAATATCCCAAGCATTTGAACTTTTTAAGACTGGCCTGTTCAAATTCCTGTTTCATCAGGCCAATACAGTAAACAAACGCTAGCAATTACCCTAAAATGTTTTGAGGTCTGGCAAAACGGTTCTTTTATTTTGGGTCAGTCATTAGCAACTGAGGCTAAGTAGGTTCTTAATCAGGCCCTTAGTGTATAAAGGAGATGTAGTTGCAATTGTTGACTACCAGAAAAGTAAAGAAACTTGACGGTTTGGTCCTTCCTTCAATATACAGTATACAGTGCATATTAACAAATGTACATTGCAAACCTCCTTTGTGCAAGGTCCATGAAGACAATTACGGTCTGTACTTTTTAAAAACCTTTTTTCGTTGTACGGGAATCTACAGTAGTACTTCTATTTGTAATTACAGTTTGGTCCAGTATCTTCTTGTAATATCATGGGGACCTTAAGGGCCGACGACGGCGACGGCAACGGGAACGCCACAAAAGCAATAGGTTTAATTAGCAAAACAACTATTTTTCACGTGCATCACGCTTTTTGGTACATTTCTTTGCCGTCACTGCACGACTACGACGTGAAAATGCCTAATTTCCCGATGTACAGAGGAAGTACACAAGCGACGACGAAATTTCCTCTCTCTTTCTGGACTTGAATATGGTTCTTAGGAATTCAACTTTAGGAAGGTTCGCCTACATTTGACAAAGTTAGTGACTTGGAGTAATCGCTATGAACATTGAAAAATAGCCAATTCACCTTTTCAGCGACGTTTTGTCCGCCGTCGCCGTTCTCGGATGTTAAGGTCCCTATCAACTGACAATCTCGAAGTCAAACTCTTTGGTTAAAAAGTTTATCTTAATTTACCTGTAACCTAAATATAAGAAGCTGCTCGATTTTGCTTGGCTAAACAGGATCTTATATTTTTGAGCAATCCTCATTTTCGGAGACCCAGGGGCAGCCAGTCGGGCCTGGAGAAAAAGCGCGACAAAAGTTTTCAAACTGACTTCCCCTGGTCTCCGTCGATGGGTGAGAGTCGGTACCCAGGGGCTCTTTCGCCCGTTCTTGAAAACTATCGTCGCACTTTTTCTCCCGACCCGACTGACTGCCCCTGGGTCTCCGAGGATGGGCATTACTAAGAAGTGCCAGATTTCTGCCAGCAGGTTCTTATAGTTTAAGTTTAAGTTTAATAATTCTTTTTACCAATGTACAAAATAAAAATATATATACATATATAAAAGTACAATAGGTAAAGGAAAGCAGTAGGGGGAAACTGAATTCCCATATAAAAAACTGCCCTCCAAAACGAAAAGATAAAACAATTAAGAATAGAAAACTTATACATAACTATACATCATGTGGTACTAAGAGAAAAAAAAAACAAAAACAAACAAACAAACAAAAAAAACAAAATTTAGTTGTTTTGTTTTTGTTTTTTTTTTCCCTTTCCCCTTCCCCTTTTCTTTAATAAACTACTTAGATATTAAATAAAATACTAATACTTAGATAAAATACTAATACTTAGATATTGAATAAAAAAGAAAATCCAGATTCAGTAGGAAATAATAAAGATATAACTATTTACAAAGATAATTAAGTAATAAAGTTTTAAAAGAGTAAATGTCATGTCTGTAAATTAAATGTAAGTATCATGTCTTAATTAAATGTAAGTATCATGTCTTATTAGTGAGTATTTACTGTATCGTGGCCAAGGCCCCACTATAATGGCGGAAATGAATGCCAAATGACCCTTCCAGAAAAGAAATGTTTTGCACATTGTGAACTTCTGCATCTTCAACAACGTGCGGTTAGATTTATCTTGAACGCCGAAAAACAGCTTCAGGGCCCAGTTGTTCGAAGGCCGATTAGCGCTTAATCCGGGGTTAAATTTAACCCGGGTTTCTTTTTCTTGTGTTCAAAAGCATTTTCTCGGATAATTTTCTCTGTTATTTTTTAGAGATTCCAATCATCAACTTGTAGACAAAAAGAATTAAAACTGAAATGCTTTTTAAGCTTTCAAATCTGTATTCAAATCTTGCACTAACCCTGGGTTATCTTAACACAGCTTTGAACAACTCGGCCCAGGCGTTTTTAGGGCGGGTAGGAGAGAACCCTGGGAACGAGGTTGGCGGTTGCGTTACTCTTAAAATACCCGGATGTTGATTAAGGCCTACAGCAGAATGACAGAATGCGATTGTGGAAACTTAAAGTTAAAAGTTTACTTTTTGTGACATTTTTATTCATAATAACGTTTGCTCTAGTGAAATTTATTGTAAACCAAGGATCTGGAAATGTACAGTTCACGTATCAGAAAGAAGGAGGAATGCCTGGCTCTTTGAACGTGCACATTTGGGAAGAACTATGCGGCGAAAAGATGCTGTCACTAACACAGTTTCCACTCTTTCCTCAAGGACCGTCTGCGCGATTACAAACGCCAAATTTGCGGCTATATTTTCGACCACAATCGGAAAATTCTGGGCTACGGATATTTGGATTTCTGTCCCCCTTCGAATCTGGGGATTACAGTTTTTATTTAGATACAAGTGAAACTTCAGAACTTTGGTTGAGTTTGGATTCAAATCCAGAGAACAGCAAATTGATTGCAAATTCAACCTCAGGACAAGAGTGGAAATTTGACAGCAATTTAAACAGCGTTTTTTTGCTTGCTGGAAAGCGTTATTATTTGGAAATTTTACTCAAAATAGGAAAATATGAGTGGATTTTTCATCACTTTGAAGTTAAGTGGAAATCATCCTCTTGGAGAGAAAATGACATCAGAGAAATCCCATCCAATGTGTTTATTGCTAGTGATAGGTTTAAACAAGTTCGAACATTTGATCGCAACACAAATTTTGTTCTTCCTATGCACAGTAAACATCAAGATCCTAGATTTGCAACGGAGGAATTACAACGCCGTGCAGAAATGTATCTCCTCCCTTTCATCAGTGAAAAGGATTCCAAAAATCTTTTTCCTGCATGTGACTACAATCCTTCATACCTGGTGAAAGGACCTTTAAAAAGGTACCAGTCCACTTGGGAATTGCACTATTCGTCCATTTATCCGTTTGACTACAGTGATGTAGTGTGCAAGGCAAAAAATGATTTTTTGTCTCTTGGAAATGACCAGTTAGATAAAGATATTGCAGAGGCAGTCGCTTCTCAAGTCTGGATACAGCTGGAGAAACAACATCCTGGGTAAATACCTGTTTAGTTCTATTATAGTGGATCTGTAATGCAACCAAAATTACTTTGGCAAAATTTGTATGCCCCCAAAAGACTGTGGTTTGCATTTCCTAACTCTTAAGCCTGGTTCTCATATGCAACTGACCGACTTAAAAACTGTGACATTGCCGCTGGAATGAGAGGTATATATTGTTCCAATACAAGAACAGATTAAGTCACCAATAACAGAGGTCATCCCAGGATTTTGTTTGCATGCATGGAAATTTGACTGCAGTTCAACTTCCCAGGCATGTTGGTGGTAAAGTCCTGTAATATTTCTTTTGGCCAGCAGCTTAAGTCTTCATACCATATTTCCCTCGAATAAGTGTACACACTCAAATAAGTGCCCTCTCCTGAATAAGCACCAACCCTAAATAAGTCCATAATATCAAACAAGCCCCTTTCTCAAATAATTGCCCCTTCCCTCCCCTTCACTTTCTGATACAAGGGGAATGTGAAGATTTGCATATTGTTGGCAAGGATGATCTTGAGGATGACAAGATAATCAATATTTTATAAACCTGTAGACCATTACATTTTTGTGTAAAGTGCTTGATGGGACTAAGGTATGCTTGATATTACAACTTCTCCTTTAGTAAGGAAAAGACTATTAATATTAACTTTACATTTCTATCAAAAATTGAGCCAAAACAAAGTTAGAAAATCTTAATAAGCCACCCGCTCAATTTAGTGCCCTCCTTTGAATATGCACCTTTTTTAGCCTTAATTCCGAATAGGCACCTTGGCACTTATTCAGGGGAATACAGTTTGTTGAAACAGTATCCCAGGCAATACTGGTGGCATTGGCGCAGGTAAATTGATTGCATATGAGAATTATTAGGGTTTCAGACTTGTCAGTGAAAAGTAAGTCCCTTTTTATATGGAGAAACGTTTTCCCACAAAATAGGGTACCCCCCCCCCAGATAAGTCAACTTTAGCAAGCCCTAAATGTCATCCCCTCTGCCTGGGTCAAGAGTGCTCGCCCATGTTCTGGTTGTCTCACATTGCTTGAGTTGACCCCTGAGTGAGCCAAAGTGTTGATTTTATTAAGCATTGTTTCTCCTCTGAATTATAATGCTCATATCATGCTTACAACATACTTCATTCCTGGAAATGATAGATTATTTTTGACACCAATAAAGGATTGGTTTTGTGGGATTAAGGGAACCTGGCTGACTGGCAATAAAAATTTGGCCAAAACATGTTCCCATCCTATTAGCAGCCTATGCTTTAGTTTTCTGTCATTTGGTGTTGCAGACAAAGAAAATCAAAGCACTTAGAGATGTAATATTGAATTTAAACAGGGCTTCAATGTTTGATGTCTGACTATCCTTCATCACTTATCATTATTCAACTTTTAAATCAGGGTTTGGTTTAAGTAATGGTCCAGATAAGAAGGGAAGGACCAAAACGCAGTGAACACGTCGGAATGCAAAAAGGTGCTAACTTTACTATTGTCTCTACTATGGTTCTGATTGGTTTAAACATCAAATTTTACGAAATCTTCGCAAAGCAGCATGTATATTAATCCCTTTTTTTCTATCCAACTTCCTTATATCAAAATCTCGTCTGAGTCGTATGTGCGGATCCTGTAAAATTGTGAACATTTCTTGGCCATTGTTTGGAACTCTTGTGATTGGTCAAAATGTTTTAACACAAAAATACACCCTTTAAAAATGGAGTTAGAATACATTTTCTTTCGTAAACTGCCTTTTTGTAGATTTATGCATTCTCTGCGTAGAAATGAAAACATTTCTATGCGAGCAAAGCGTATTGCACCACAACAAAACAAATTGCTTCCCTTCTTACCTGGATCATTACTTAAGAAGTTTTCAGTTCTCCAGCTGAAGCATGTGATAGTGGAACCTGTAAATTATTATAAACTCAATATTCAAATTATCAAATTCAAATCTTATTCTACTAACAAACCATTGCACCAGTTCTTTGCTGTACAAGTAGCAGTTATAATATTTATTAGTTACTAGTAAATGAAAGCTGCTTTAGATAATATTATGTAAGATATTAATGATACCTTGGTCCAATAGGTCTAATAGGTAGGGGCACTTATATATGGAAAGTTCACTGGGGTAGTAATGCAGAGGCCAGGGACTCATGAGCCCCATCAGGGCTCAGAATAAATTTGGGACTGTTGCCAAGTCTGGCCAAAGATATTTTAGCTCGGTAATGTCTCTCTGGAAGTTCTCTCTTCTGACTGGTCAAAATGTTTGAAAAAAATGCCTTTTTTGTCTGCCTGATTTTACTCCTCTGATTAAAAAGACTGGGAAACCGAAGGTTTGTCCAGACAAATGGTCATCTTGGCCGGACATTGTCCATTGACCAGCCATTATTTTGAGCCCTACAGTCTCAAATTTATATTCATTCTGATAATAAATATGAGATTTTGTTTTCCTTCAATTTAGGAAATACTCTTTTGTACGAACCCTAAATGTGGAAGAAAAACGTGACCAAAGAAAAGGAGACAGGTACTTGGTGGAATTGGAACTGAAAGAAAATTCAGTCGGAAGACCTGTAAGGTTCTCAGAATATGTCTACAGACCGTGGGGTGCACAAACCCTGTGTACCCCTGTGGGCGTGGCCTGGAAGAAAAGTGCTGTTGTCAACATTTTGCTTACAACTGGAAATAACCAGGGACGTTGGATTCTTCACTTCCTTGATAACATGGCAAGAATTTATAACAGAACCAAGGATGCCAATTTTAATGTTGTTATTGTCGATTTTGACAGCAAAGACATTGATATTGATAATGCCTTAAAGAAGGCAGCAATTCCATCTTATCAATATACTAATAGAAAGGGGGATTTTTCAAGGGCCTTGGGGCTACAGAAAGCTGCTGAAATGGTCAGGGATCCAAATTCAATTCTTTTTGCTATGGATCTTCATCTTGATATTCCTTATCATTTCTTGGATGATGTTAGAAAGGTTAGTGAAGCGTAGTTGTTCTGGCCAGGGGGGGTTTCGGGACAACCCGGGGGTATGGGAACTTCTATTCCGGTCAACTTGACTGGCAACTTTTGATTAAAATCCCAGGAATGTAGCTAAGCATTGTCCAGAGGAATGTACACTCAGTTTTCTGAGTCAATCCTAAGGTTGGATTTCCAGTGACACGTATATTGTATTTGGTGCGCAAGTAAATTTTACACGCGTAAGTAAATAATTTACTTACGCGTGTAATTATTAGACGCAATGCATGGGAGGTCGTGTGTAACGTAAAAGTTGAACCTTACTCAAAATTAAAATTATGTGCGTACCCAGGTAAAAATTTCATGACAGTTGAAATCCATGCCTTTTTTTTATCTTTGACGTTTTTTTCACATGAGTACCCTCGAGCAGGTAGCCACCGCCCCTAAAACCCTAAAGGGAGCAGGATGTATCCGAGACAGGGGGAGATACAAGGAAAAAATCGTATCGACAAGCAAATTTTAGGAGATTGAATCGGTATCAATGTGTTTTTGCGGATAACAAAGTTTAAAAGTGATGATGTTGTTCGTTGCGTTTTTTTCTGAGAGGTTAAAAAATCACTTTGTTAAACTGAGAAGCCGAAATATGTGTGGAATGAAAGGCTTATGTTTGGATCTTTGCCCAACAAAAGAATGAAAATGATTTAACAGTTTTTTGCTCATTAGAAGGAGCACACCTTCATTTATACATTGAATACGTCGGTCTTACTTTTGGTTTTGTCATTCTTATCTTTCAGCACTCTGTTCAACACAAGATTGCCTACTGTCCTCTACAAAAGCAATTATTTATCGGGGTACTGTAACTTTACTCGTCCACAGGACTAGTGGCAAAAAAACCTACTCGTTTTGGGCAATTTTTACTCGTTTTGGACGAGTGGACGACCGTTAAGTTCGAGCACTGCAAATTCAAATCTTATTCTACTAACAAACCATTGCACCAGTTCTTTGCTGTACAAGTAGGCATAAGTTATAATATTTATTAGTTACTAGTAAATGAAAGCTGCTTTAGATAATATTATGTAAGATATTAATGATACCTTGGTCTAATAGGTCTAATAGGTGGGGGCACTTATTGGAAAGTTCACTGTGGTAGTAATGCAGAGGCCATGGACTCATGAGCCCCATCAGGGCTCAGAATAAATTTGGGACTGTTGACAAGTTCGGCCAAAGATATTTTACCTCTGTCAGTAACATCTCTCTTGAAGTTCTCTCTTCTGACTGGTCAAAATGTTTGAAAAAATGCCTTTTTTGTCTGGGTGATTTTACTCTTCTGATTAAAAAGAGCAACAAACCAAATGTTTGTCCAGACAAATTGTCTTCTTGGCCGGACATTGTCCATTGACCAGCCATTATTTTGAGCCCTACAGTCTCAAATTTATTTTCATTCTGATAATAATTATGAGATTTTGTTTTCCTTCAATTAGGAAATACTCTTTTGTACGAACCCTAAATGTGGAAGAAAAACATGACCAAAGAACAGGAGACAGGTACTTGGTGGAATTGGAACTGAAAGAAAATTCAGTCGGAAGACCTGTAAGGTTCTCAGAGTATGTCTACAGACCGTGGGGTGCACAAACCCTCTGTACCCCTGTGGGCGTGGCCTGGAAGAAAAGTGCTGTTGTCAACATTTTGCTTACAACTGGAAATAACCAGGGACGGTGGATTCTTCACTTCCTTGAAAACATGGCAAGAATTTATAACAGAACCAAGGATGCCAATTTTAATGTTGTTATTGTCGATTTTGACAGCAAAGACATTGATATTGATAATGCCTTGAAGAAGGCGGCAATTCCATCTTATCAATATACTAATACAAAGGGGGATTTTTCAAGGGCCTTGGGGCTACAGAAAGCTGCTGAAATGGTCAGGGATCCAAATTCAATTCTTTTTGCTATGGATCTTCATCTTGATATTCCTTATCATTTCTTGGATGATGTTAGAAAGGTTAGTGAAGCGTAGTTGTTCTGGCCAGGGGGGGTTTCGGGACAACCCGGGGGTATGGGAACTTCTATTCCGGTCAACTTGACTGGCAACTTTTGATTAAAATCCCAGGAATGTAGCTAAGCATTGTCCAGAGGAATGTACACTCAGTTTTCTGAGTCAATCCTAAGGTTGGATTTCCAGTGACACGTATATTGTATTTGGTGCGCAAGTAAATTTTACACGCGTAAGTAAATAATTTACTTACGCGTGTAATTATTAGACGCAATGCATGGGAGGTCGTGTGTAACGTAAAAGTTGAACCTTACTCAAAATTAAAATTATGTGCGTACCCAGGTAAAAATTTCATGACAGTTGAAATCCATGCCTTTTTTTTATCTTTGACGTTTTTTTCACATGAGTACCCTCGAGCAGGTAGCCACCGCCCCTAAAACCCTAAAGGGAGCAGGATGTATCCGAGACAGGGGGAGATACAAGGAAAAAATCGTATCGACAAGCAAATTTTAGGAGATTGAATCGGTATCAATGTGTTTTTGCGGATAACAAAGTTTAAAAGTGATGATGTTGTTCGTTGCGTTTTTTTCTGAGAGGTTAAAAAATCACTTTGTTAAACTGAGAAGCCGAAATATGTGTGGAATGAAAGGCTTATGTTTGGATCTTTGCCCAACAAAAGAATGAAAATGATTTAACAGTTTTTTGCTCATTAGAAGGAGCACACCTTCATTTATACATTGAATACGTCGGTCTTACTTTTGGTTTTGTCATTCTTATCTTTCAGCACTCTGTTCAACACAAGATTGCCTACTGTCCTCTTCTTGTACGCTTAGGCTGTGGAGCAACAGCTACCGAACCTTTTGGCTTTTGGGAAATTTATGGTTTAGGATTGATAACTTTGTACAAGAGTGACTGGGACAAAATTGGAGGAATGAACGTCAAGGAATTTAAGGAGAAATGGGGTGGGGAGGACTGGGAATTTGTCGATCGCTTGTTGGAAGCTGGAATGGAGGTTGAAATGCTCAAAATGTTGCATTTTTTTCACTACTTCCATTCAAAGAAAGGCATGTGGAATAACATCAACAGCCATGCAAAAGGTGACATTTTGAGCAAATATTGGTACACGTATTGACGGTGGATCACCGTGTAGTTGCTAAATAAGAATCTCAGGGCTTAAAGGCTGGTAACTCAAACCAAGTTCGATAAACACATGTACGCGAGATAATATTCTTTCAGTGATTAGCTTAAGCTGTCTTGGAGTCCCACCAGTAGATGAACATTTCGCTAAAACGAACACCAAGGGTCGGTTCCTGCCGCTCTTTAGCCAGTTTCTATAACTTTATGAGGGTGACACCTTGCTCCTTAGCCTCTTTCAGGCATTCAGATAGTAGACCGCGGCGCTAAATGGTGGGGAGCGAGTGAAATCGTACGCGGGAAAAACGAGGGGAGAACTGGCTGTTATTGTGATCACTGATTTTCATACCGCACTGGAAAAAGCTACCAACATAATATTCAGATAATATAGGTCAGTCAATGTCACAGTAATCCATGTCTTATAGTGGACTACAATGAAGATCTAGCCTTTTGGGTACAGGATGTTCAGGGGTGAAGGTGTGCCCCCCAAAAAACCCATATACTGATTTCCTCGAATAAGCGCCCACGTTCTAATTAGCGCCGTCCGTCGAATGTAGGCCATAATATCAAACAAGCCCCTTTCTCAAATAAGTGCACCCTCCCCTCCCCTTAAATAGAAGGGATCAACGGTAATTAATGTGAAGATCTGGCCTCGGTTGTTCAAACGTTGGATAGCGCTATCCACCGGATAAATCACTATCCAGCGGAAAAGTATTACGGAAATCAATTACGCTACCCGCTGGATAGTGATTTATTCGGTGGACAGCGCTATCTAACGTTGAAACAACCGGGGCCTGCATATCATTAACGAGGATGATCTGGAGGATGATGAGATAATCGATGTTTTATGAACATGCATACCGATACAGCGTTCAATGGGACTAAGGTACGCTTGATTACCAACTACTATTTTAACAACGAAAGACTATCAATATTAACTTTACGTTTCTATTAAAGATTTAGCCAGAGTTACACTTTGTTTAAAGGAAAACTGAAGTAGAGTCGATAAACCCCACTTCGTCCAATAAGCGCCCCTCCCTTTAGCCCTGGGGGATTATTTGAGGGAAAACGTGTTGAGTAACATCGGGTTAAAGGACTGATATCTCTGCCGAGTACGTCGGTACCCTGCGAGCGGTTACCGGTCATTTCGGTACAAATTGAAGTCGATTCGATTATATCAACTGGAGGTCGATTCAGTGTACAACCCAAGTAAATTGCCAACTTTTGAAGATTTAAACAAAAAGCATTTGTTTCTCTCCGAAGACTCTTCGATTTACATTCGAATTACGACATTGACGGTCGCTTCGTTTCTCCTTGGGAAGAGTAACGTTCTCCAGCGCTCTCTTGTTTGCATACCAAACCGAGCAATTTAGAGGAAGGCTCTGCTTATAGTATTACAGCATCGTTTTGTACCATTTGAAGCGTTTTAGTAAGATTTTCCAGTGGAGGGGGGTGGGGCATAGGGAAGTAGCACTAATTTAGGCTACTTGGGTTCTTAAATAGCTTCTTTTTTTCTCAAGAAGAAAAAAAAGAGCTTTGTCGCTAAGAGTAGTTCTCTGCTATGTCACTGCGTTCCGCCGCAGAGAAAACGTTTAAGTTCTAATCAGCAGAAAGGCAAAACACGTTGAAATAGGAAGGACACGACCAGTTGTGTCGAGATGTGACGTAAAATCCCTAGAGGATCAAACTGCGGCCATAAATGCAAATTCCGAACATAAACACATTTAGTGGTATTCAGGTCATTCCTTACATAAAATCTGCACACCACTACATTGCAGTTGAAGTGAAAAGGTAACTTTGCCCCAAAGAGGATCCTGAATGTTTGCTTATCTTATTTGCCCAAGTTTATAATTTTTTTTTGTAGATTTTAGAAAACAAGAACCCGTTTTAAGTTTTAGACTAAACAGGTTCTTGTGTAGAGGGGGCCTAACTGGCAAATTTTAGCCTAACAGGTTCTTGCTCGCGCAGGGTTTCTACTGTATAGTTATCATTGGCTCCTGAAGCAAATCAATGTCGCATGATCTATAGGCTTTGTAATAGTCCTGTAAACTTAAGACGAAACCAACGTAACAACGCTAAAATATCCACCACAAGTTCACATACTTATTGGCTTGAATAATAAAGTGCCCTCCCCCGCCCCCCCTCCTCCAAACTTAGGGTCGAGGATTCATGGCTATTTTTAAATTAGAGCTGATTTCTCTTACAATGTAAACTTTTAGGTACATGTACGAAAATCAAGTGTGGGGAGTCGGGTTGTTTACATTTAAACCGGTCTTAGGCAGGTTGAGCAAAGGGTAAACTGTATACGCTTACGTTGTCCTGTGGTTGTTGCCTTTAATTGGGATGCCTGTGGAGAAAGCAGAAGCTGGGTAACCATGATTTTATCTCCGTGCAAGAGATGGGCAGAAAATTTTCCACGGGCGTAGAGGGAGGGTGAGTTTTCAGTGTTTAATTAATAAGTCAGCGGTAGTTTCGGAAAATGAAGTGAGATCGAGCTTCTTGTCGGGACCCTTCCGGTCGACTCGTGACCCTATTTTCCGCATGCAATCTGGCAGGAAAACCAGATCTGTAGACAAGCAAGATCAAGGTTCTCAAGTCTTTCAAGCCACAATTATAAATTCCTCTGTGGACCAAGTAAAGGAAAAAAAGGATTGCATTTCTTCAAGGAAATTTTGACATGTTCGTTTTTAGGAGAATAGCTGTTTTGCAGTTCACAATTGTTATTCAGTGTGTATACTATCATGTATGACGTAACACTTACGATGCTTACATATCTGTAATAAATCGCCGTTTCAAGGTCAAAACTGAAAATCAGAAAACTAGTCCTCGGGCTGATTCAGACATAAATAGAAGCTCCCTTTCCCTTCCGTTTCAAACACCTGCCACGCAGGCTGCTAGTGTAGCGTAAAAATCAACCTCGTTCGCAGGGTTCTCTCCTACCTGTCCCTACGGAGGGAAAAAATACGGTTTTTTTGGAGTGGGGAGGGGGCAATAAAAAAAAAATTGAAGATTCGTTGCAGTGCCTGCGTATCCCGGCCGCGTAGTTCTGCGAATGTTTGTTTTTTCCATTTATATTATTTTTTTGTGTTATATCATTTAATGCTTAGTATTTTTAATAATAAAGGAATTAAATTAACTGCAAAAACCGTGGACGAAGACATTGAGAAGGCTGGTGTGGCCAGCCGAAATATTGTTATGAAAAAGCAATACACGTTGTTCTGATCAGCCTCGGGGCGGCACTAGGGTATTTTTGGGTGGGTGTGTGCCGCCCCGGGACTGTAAATTGGCACCCCATTCTAAAAACAATTTCCCCTAACATTGATACCCCGTTCTAGAATTCGCCCTAAAACTGATACCCCGTTCTAGAAATAGGCCAATTTTTTATACTCCGTTCTAAGGTGCAAAGAGTACAACAGTTTGCTTGTTAACGCATCGAACCGTATTTTTAAAAGCAATCTGTCCTTGAATAATTTCAAATGGCTGCCTACAAAACTGGTGCTTTCGTGCGTTCGAAAAATTATACCCCGTTCTAGAAAACGCCTCTGAAATTGATACCCCGCTCTAAATCAGGAGCTTCCAAATCACGACCCCGTTGGGCGGCACATACCCATATAGGTAATGTATGGGAGTACCCCCCCCCCCCCCCCCCCTCGGGTGAGTCGATTTCTCTTTGTCATTACCCTTTTTGTACTTTTTTCAAAAGGTGACATTTTGAGCAAATATTGGTACACGTATTGACGGTGGATCACCGTGTAGTTGCTAAATAAGAATCTCAGGGCTTAAAGGCTGGTAACTCAAACCAAGGTCGATAAACACATGTACGCGAGATAATATTCTTTCAGTGATTAGCGTAAGCTGTCTTGGAGTCCCACCAGTAGATGGACATTTCGCTAAAACGAACACCAAGGGTCAGTTGCTGCCGCTCTTTAGCCAGTTTCTATAACTTTATGAGGGAGACACCTCGCTCCTTAGCCTCTTTCAGGCGTTCAGATAGTAGACCGCGGCACTAAATGGTGGGGAGCGAGCGAAATCGTACGCGGGAAAAACGAGGGGAGAACTGGCTATTATTGTGATCACTGATTTTCATTCCGCACTGGAAAAAGCTACCTACATAATATTCAGACAATATAGATCAGTCAATGTCACAGTAATCCATGTCTTATAATGGACCACAATAAAGATCTAGCCTGTTAGGTAAAGGAACTTCAAGGGTGGAAGGTGTGCCCACAAAAAAAAAAATATATACTGATTTCCTCGAATAAGCGCCCACGCTCTAATTAGCGCCGTCCACCGAATCTAGGCCATACTATCAAACAAGCCCCTTTCTGAAGTAAGTGCACCCTCCCCTCCCCTTCGCTTTCTTAAATAGAAGGGATCAACGGTAATTAATGTGAAGATCTGGCCCCGGTTGTTCAAACGTTGGATAGCGCTATCCACCGGATAAATCACTATCCAGCGCAAAAGTATTACGGAAATCAATTGCGCTATCCGCTGCGTAGTGATTTATCCGGTGGACAGCGCTATCTAACGTTGGAACAACCGGGGCCTGCATATCATTGACGAGGATGATCGGGAGGATGATGAGATAATCGATGTTTTAAAGCGTTTAATGGGACTAAGGTACGCTTGATTACCAACTACTATTTTAACAACGAAAGACTATTAATATTAACTTTACGTTTCTATTAAAGATTTAGCCAGAGTTACACTTTGTTTAAAGGAAAACTGAAGTAGCGTCGATAAACGCCACTTCGTCCAATAAGCGCCGCTATCCGTAATCTTAAACAAACCCCGGGGTGATTGTTTGAGGGAAAACGTGTTGAGTAACATCGGGTTAAAGGACTGATATCTCTGCCGAGTACGTCGGTAGCCTGCGAGCGGTTACCGGTCGTTTCGGTACAAATTGAAGTCGATTCGATTATATCAACTGGAGGTCGATTCAGTGTACAACCCAAGCAAATTGCCAACTTTTGAAGATTTAAACAAAAAGAATTTGTTTCTCTCCGAAGACTCTTCGATTTACATGCGAATTACGACATTGGCGGTCGTTTCGTTTCTCCTTGAGAAGAGTAACGTTCTCCAACGCTCTCTTGTTTGCATACCAAACCGAGCAATTGAGAGGAAGGCTCTGCTTGTAGTATGACAGTATCGTTTTGTACCATTTGAAGCGTTTTAGTAAGATTTTCCAGGGGAGGGGGGTGGGGCATAGGGAAGTAGCACTAATTTAGGCTACTTGGGTTCTTAAATAGCTTCTTTTTTCTGAACGAAAAAAAGAGCTTTGCCGCTAAGAGTAGTTAGTGGTATTCAGGTCATTCCTTACATAAAATCTGCACACCACTACATTGCAGTTGAAGTGAAAAGGTACCTTTGTCTCCAAAGAGGATCCTGAATGTTTGGTTATCTTATTTGCCCAAGTGTATAATTTTTTTTGTAGATTTTAGAAAACAAGAACCCGTTTTAAGTTTTAGACTAAACAGGTTCTTGTGTAGAGGGGGCCTAACTGGCAAATTTTAGCCTAACAGGTTCTTGCTCGCGCAGGGTTTCTACTGTATAGTTATCATTGGCTCCTGAAGCAAATCAATGTCGCATGATCTATAGGCTTTGTAATAGTCCTGTAAACTTAAGACGAAACCAACGTAACAACGCTAAAATATCCACCACAAGTTCACATACTTATTGGCTTGAATAATAAAGTGCCCTCCCCCGCCCCCCCTCCTCCAAACTTAGGGTCGAGGATTCATGGCTATTTTTAAATTAGAGCTGATTTCTCTTACAATGTAAACTTTTAGGTACATGTACGAAAATCAAGTGTGGGGAGTCGGGTTGTTTACATTTAAACCGGTCTTAGGCAGGTTGAGCAAAGGGTAAACTGTATACGCTTACGTTGTCCTGTGGTTGTTGCCTTTAATTGGGATGCCTGTGGAGAAAGCAGAAGCTGGGTAACCATGATTTTATCTCCGTGCAAGAGATGGGCAGAAAATTTTCCACGGGCGTAGAGGGAGGGTGAGTTTTCAGTGTTTAATTAATAAGTCAGCGGTAGTTTCGGAAAATGAAGTGAGATCGAGCTTCTTGTCGGGACCCTTCCGGTCGACTCGTGACCCTATTTTCCGCATGCAATCTGGCAGGAAAACCAGATCTGTAGACAAGCAAGATCAAGGTTCTCAAGTCTTTCAAGCCACAATTATAAATTCCTCTGTGGACCAAGTAAAGGAAAAAAAGGATTGCATTTCTTCAAGGAAATTTTGACATGTTCGTTTTTAGGAGAATAGCTGTTTTGCAGTTCACAATTGTTATTCAGTGTGTATACTATCATGTATGACGTAACACTTACGATGCTTACATATCTGTAATAAATCGCCGTTTCAAGGTCAAAACTGAAAATCAGAAAACTAGTCCTCGGGCTGATTCAGACATAAATAGAAACTCCCTTTCCCTTCCGTTTCAAACACCTGCCACGCAGGCTGCTAGTGTAGCGTAAAAATCAACCTCGTTCGCAGGGTTCTCTCCTACCTGTCCCTACGGAGGGAAAAAATACGGTTTTTTTGGAGTGGGGAGGGGGCAATAAAAAAAAAATTGAAGATTCGTTGCAGTGCCTGCGTATCCCGGCCGCGTAGTTCTGCGAATGTTTGTTTTTTCCATTTATATTATTTTTTTGTGTTATATCATTTAATGCTTAGTATTTTTAATAATAAAGGAATTAAATTAACTGCAAAAACCGTGGACGAAGACATTGAGAAGGCTGGTGTGGCCAGCCGAAATATTGTTATGAAAAAGCAATACACGTTGTTCTGATCAGCC